ATCATCTAAACCAGACCCTGCACTATTAGCTTATTATCTGGTCCGGTAATCAGTGTTGGGGAGTAACTAGTTACATGTAATTTAGTTACATAATTTAATTACAAATGGGGGTTAAATCTGCCTATTTTCTGTAAAAAGCTATATGTTAAATAATATTTATCTTGTTGCTTTGCATGTTTGTCATGTGCACAGCCGTTTAGTAACGCTTGATGCCATTCTGATTCTCCAGCTGTCTTTTGAAAATGGTTAACGACTGAAAACATTCATTAGAAATTTAGAAAAAGTAATTGAATATAATAAGTTACTTTACTTTTAATAAGTAACTGAAATAGGCCATTTTCATTTTCAACATTCATAATTCATCTGTACTTTCCCCCCTAAAATTAATCCTTTTTATTGGAGTAAATTATTTTAAAATATCCAGCTTCTTACAATTTAGTTACACAGCAAATTTCATTGAAAGTAAACTCAATGCACTTACATAAATACATCCATGCAAATAAAACGCATGAACCCACAAACATTATGTCAATGCATACACAAGCAGAATAAAAAGGAAATTATGGAAAATAATAAAGAAATACAAAAAGGAAAATCACAACAATTAATCTTGATAAAGTGTAATATAGAACATAATAAAATTTTTATACAATACATACTCTCCTCCGGCTGAGATTATCAACATACCTGTGTCAGAAATGATTGATCACGCTGTTGTGGATCTCGATGAGCTGAAAAATTGTTATGACATTTTAGATGGCAAAGAGGTAACTTGCCCTTGCACCCATTCAACCACCAGAAAGGAGAGCATATCAACCTGTTCCTCTTCTTGGTGTTCCTTCCCTGACTCAGACACCTCAGAGATGATCACATTGTTTGATCAGAATATCAATGAGGAGATTACGAAAGTATGTCCAAGCTTCTTCAATCCAGAGGTGGTGACAGAAGCAGATGATTGTGGAGAAAAAGAGAAAGTCCAGACCACTGAGACAGGCTCACTATGCAGACTTTGCACCAGGTCTGAGAGGAGTGCGAGACCTGCCTCCTGTGCCTATTCTTCCTCCACTGACAGCCATCACTAAGGCAGGCAAAATGCTTGTTGACCACATAACTGATGAGGCTGTAAAGATACTGCAGTTCGCTGACGCTGTCAAATCACTGCAGTCAAATGAGGGTGTCGAGACACTGGAGGCCTCCGAGGCTGTGAGGACACTGCAGTCCACTGAGGATGTCAAGACATTAGAGGCCAAGACACCAGAGGCCGTTGAAGCTGTCAAGATACTGCAATCCACAGAGGCTGTCATTACACTGGAGACTTAAAGAGAGTCCATTGTAAAGACAATGGAGTCCACTGACGCTTTAAAGACACTGTTGTCCATTGAGGATGTCAAGACAATGGAGACCTAGACACTGCAGTCCACTAAGGCTGTCAAAATATTGGAGGCTTCTGGGCTGTCAAGACACAGCAGTCCACTGTGGATGTAGACACTGCAGTTCACTGAGGCTGTCAAGACACTGGATGCCTCTGAGGTTGTGAAGACACAAGTTCACTGAGGCTATTAAGGACAGCAATGCTGCTCCCCAATCAGACCTGAGTTCCAGCCCTGTTGGGTTGGTTGAAAAAGAACAGAATATCACAAAAGGGAAGACTGGGAAATGTGTCCCATCTCCACTTCGGCATAATTGTTTGTGTATTATTTCTGTGTTCAGCCTTTCTTTACTTTTTTAGGCAATGGGGGGAAGTAAGCACAGGTGTTTACAATCAGGATGTGAAGAAGCAGCTGAAGCAGCTGACTGACATGCTAAGAATGTCTTTCAGGCCATCCATCAGGGTGAAGGCTCCCCATCTGGCACCCTGTCCTCCTCAGCACCTTTCACAGAGTACTTACGCATCACTGAGCACAACATGTAGAGAAATTTGGAAAGTTACTTGAGCCAGGCTTTCTGTAATGCCATTGGTGCAGACACCCTTGGAAAGATTTCCCCAAAATTCATAGAGGCCGTAGCAGGAGAGGTCATTTATGAGGCCAACTCTGTCCTTTCAGTGGCCTTACAAGCCTCTCTGGATGGAGGATCCTCCAGTGTCACTGCTGCTGTCAGCTGCGTGGTGTCAAAGGACAGGACAACCAAGAAGTCTTTGGAGGCAGCCATCACAACCATGAAATCCTTCCTCACAGGACGAGGCACTGCAATGAGGAGGAGAATTCAGACGGACAAAGGTTTAGATCGTGACAGTAAAGAAGAGACACCAACAGGAGGATGTAAAGGCAAGAGGAAGAAATTGCTGTGGAAGAAGTGTTCCAGTGGATGGCAGAGGAAAAAGATTCAGGCAGCTCCACTCGAACATTTGGATGAGGCCGTCAGGTCAGCCAGCACCGACTTAACATCTAGGAGCACCAAAGAGATGCCCTCCACCACCTCCTCCGGTGCTGTTGTGGGAGGACACCTTAGGTCCCCTCAGCTACAGTTGGTGGACTACCTTGAGGACAAAGACAAGACATCAGAAGGCATCAGAAATGTTCTTCCGTCTCTGCCTTCTACCAGCTTTATTCCACCAGAACATCAGGTCACTTGGTCAAAAGTCCTCAAGGACCCACCCAGGGGTGAAGCTACAAATGATGAGCTCCAGAAAGAGATGAGCAGTTCTTTAAGTCAACAGTCCATTGACTCTGATGACGATAAAGGCACTTTCAGCCAGAGCTCTGTGGACCAATCTCAGCCTCACTCTGAGCACGTTGTTGTTGCAGAGCCCAAAGCAAAGAAGAGCAACATGTTCTCAAAGATAAGGATAGATTCACATGGAAATTCTAATCAGTTCTCGTGTCACTTTAAAAGTACACAAGAACAGATTGAAACAGATCTGAATTTCTGTCAGGTGGATCAAACCAACAGCTATGAAGGATTCATGATGAAATGTCTTTGCCAAAAGTCAAAGGCAGCTGGACTTCTTCTTGGTAATATTTAATCCCTAATCCGAGATGTTTCATTGATTTAGAATGTATCTGCTTTTTTCTTTCATCCCTGTCATTATCTAATTAATCTGAAAGCATCAGAATCTCAAACTTTCCGCATTTATTTTTTTTTGTGCTAATGTTTTTTATGACAGCACCAAAAACGGCGAGAAGCTCAAAAAGGAGGAGGTGTACAAGAAGAAGGCTTCAACAGAGAATCAGCCCAAGAAGCCTCCTTTTTTGATGTGGCTGTAATGCTGCAGCTGCTTTGACAAGTAAAGGACCAGCAGTTGGCTCAATAATAACTTATCCCCATTTCTCTTTCTCCTGATCCTAATCACTACCCACCCTCTTCACCTTTCTCTCCCCCTCTGTCTTTCTTCCCCATCCGCCTTTTTTCCATCCCAGCCCCACCTTCCCCTCCCTGTCGCTCCACCCCCCCTTCTCTCTCTTCAGCTCAACCTCTAAATGGCTTGAAATTTAACATTATAATATAAATATATGATATAATAAAAATATAAATGTTAATACGTGAATATTGATGGTTCTAGCCTGGTCTGCACCCATCACCTGTGGAATACATCAAGGCTGTATTTTAGGACCCGTGTTAGTCCTGTTATACATGCTCTCTTTAGGCTTGATCTTTCAATAATAAAATATCACATATCAATGCTACATAGATGACACTCAGCTATTCACCCCATTAGAACCTAATGAAAATAACACAGTTAGTTCCCTCCCTGATTGCCTCCAGGATGTGTCTTCAGTCTCATTTGGCCCCACTAACTCCACTGGGGGCCTAGCTAATCACCTAGGACCCTTGGTCCCTAACCTTCATGCCCATAACAGAAATCTTGGGGTCAATCTAGGTTTAAAATTTGAAAAGGAACTTAACATGGATATGAAAGGTTGCTTTTTACAGCTACAAAATCAGAGAACTCAAATGATTCCTCTCTCTCAATGACCTGAAGATTGTCACTATTTTGTCTCTGATTGATTATTTCATTGATCTTTATCTGGGAATTAGCCAGTCATCCTAAGAGTTATTGCAGAATGCGGCTACACTTGATTTATATGATAAGGGTTAAAAGGAACATAACTTTCTTTGTTACTGACAAGCCAGACTAAAGTACCACACTGCCTGTGAGCCATGTACTATTTTACTGTGCAGCTTGTAGCCAACATAGCACATCTGGAAAAATCTTTAAACTTCTGTCTTCTGTTAAAACAAACCTATACCACTATCAGCACACCAACCTACGATAACAGAAATCCCACATCCCTCCCTCCCCCCACCCTGCAAGGGAGCTTTTATTTCCCCTCACCAACTGTTTATATTCCAGGTTGCTTTCTGACTCACTGTTGACATTATTAGTTGGCTCAAACATAGTCCAACATGAGGCAAAGGCAACTGTTATTTTACACCGTCCTCTCTTTCTCCCTCTCCCTGTTTCCCCGTACTCCCTACAGTATTATACTTTACAATAAACTCAGAGTACTGATAGTTCATGGTTTGATGCAGTACCCATTATGGTCAGCAGATGGAAGCAGCTCTCCTCTCTGGACTGTCGTGGCGCTGTCCCTGGTTCTGAAACTACCTCTCGCTCTCAACGCAGGGCATGTTTCTCTGAATCCCCGACCGTAACACTCTGTCTGAAGTTTCTCTAAAAGTTCATTAGAAGTGATTAAAGATTAAGATATTTTCTTGCTTAATATACCTCGAGTAGCCTGCCAACAGATTTGACTTTTCTGTCTTGATATTTTTGTAAAATATTATTAAGTGTTAGTCCTGACTGACACCTACCCTTTGAGATGTAAACGTACAAACACACACACACACACACACACACAAATGTGATATTCAGCGAGTCCAAAGAGTAAAATAAAGGAGAGAGAAAAGGAAAGGAGAGCTCTGCGCGCTCATCGGCTGTCTGCAGTGAAAAACTGAGCAGCAAGGAGAGCAGAGGCATAAAACTCCAGGGCGACCTCCACACGGTCTGACGTACCCGAAGCTGCTGGTATAAATGAATTCAAGGCGTCACCAAGCTCAGATGATTCGCACTACCAGGGAGCGCAGCCGCCTGTCAACACTTACGGGCTACGACACACACAAAACCCTCACACACACTCATAAACACGTCTGCGTCATGCGTCCTGACAGCGACGGCACGAACGCGGCAACTCCGATGGACCCCGGTAAAACGCACAGCAGCAGCAGTCTGAGGGGCTGACTGTGCCCTGCTTATCTGTCCAGCTGCGTGTCCCCCGCTGCTCTGGGAAAGCTGCGCTCTGAGTGTGGTGGCATTATGGATTTTATAACAACAAGCAGCAGCAATGACAGCAACGCGACCAATGGTTACCCTGACGGGATGGACGTGGTTGCCGACTGGGGTGAGGGTGCCAATGGCACAGGGTCTGGGTCTCTACCAGATCTGAATCTGAGTTACCAGATAATCACATCTCTGCTCCTGGGGGCCCTCATCCTCTGCTCCATATTTGGCAATGCGTGCGTCGTGGCAGCCATCGCCCTGGAGAGATCTCTCCAGAATGTAGCTAACTATCTGATCGGATCACTGGCCGTGACAGACCTCATGGTATCGGTGCTGGTCTTGCCAATGGCGGCCCTCTACCAGGTTTTGAATAAGTGGACACTGGGACAGGAGATCTGTGATATATTCATCTCTTTGGATGTACTGTGTTGCACATCATCCATCCTGCATCTGTGCGCAATTGCCTTGGACAGGTACTGGGCCATAACAGACCCCATTGACTATGTAAATAAACGGACACCAAGGCGAGCTGCGATCTTGATTAGTGTGACTTGGCTAATTGGCTTCTCCATCTCTATTCCGCCTATGTTAGGCTGGAGAAGCGCGGAAGACAGGGCGAATCCCGACGCCTGCATCATCAGCCAGGACCCGGGCTACACCATTTACTCCACATTTGGGGCTTTTTACATCCCCCTTATTCTCATGTTGGTCCTGTACGGACGAATATTCAAGGCTGCTCGGTTTCGGATTCGAAAGACAGTCAAGAAAACCGAGACATCAAAAGTGTCAGACAAGTGCTTGACTGTGTCTCCGGCCATCTTCCACAAAAAAAACAACGGGGAGGCCGGGGGCAAAGAGTGGAAGCGCTGCGACGAGTCTAAACCAAGCTCTCCGTGCGTAAACGGCGCGGTGAAGCACGGAGAAGAGGGTGAGTCACTTGAGATCATAGAAGTTATCAGCAACTCAAAGACGCACTTGCCTTTGCCCAACACCCCTCAGTCGTCCTCGCATGGCTACGAAAATATGAATGAAAAGAATTCGGGGGCGAAGAGAAAGATCGCGCTGGCCAGGGAACGCAAAACGGTGAAAACACTGGGCATCATCATGGGAACTTTCATCTTCTGCTGGCTGCCCTTTTTCATCGTCGCGCTGGTGCTGCCTTTCTGTGCAGAGAGCTGCTACATGCCCGACTTGCTGGGCGCAGTCATAAACTGGCTTGGCTACTCCAACTCTCTCCTCAACCCCATCATATATGCCTATTTCAACAAAGACTTCCAAAGTGCTTTCAAGAAGATCATAAGATGCAAATTCCACAGGCCCTAGCCACGCTCAGTGAAGACATTTTACTTAAACGTGGAGTCATTAAACGTGCAGCAGAAAATGTTCACTGACTGTATGGAACAGCAAAAAACAACATACAGACTTTTTTTTTTCAGGGACAGTCTCTTTTCGGTGTGTTAGAGGACCGTGTAAAAAGAAAATCTGGCTGCAGATGAAATGAGACAAGGCAGAAACTTTTGCTCTTAATGTACAAGCTCATGTTTATTCAGTGTTGTAGCTACAGTATATAGCCTATATGCGACGGCAGCCATCGTTATATTGACATGCAAGTCGTATCTTGTGCTGATTTCCATGCATTTTATCATGAGACACGCGGGGTTTCTGTCCTACGTCACGAGCTTTGTAGCACTGAAACAATAAAAAAAAGCAAAGTTTGTCATTAAGAAATATGAGTCCTTTTTTTGTGTGTGGTAAATAAAAAAGTAATGAGCCAAGAAGAGGCCAGGGCCTATTGTGACAGTTCCACTTGGGACCCATGCATCTTCATATAGATCATAAGGGATTAATCACAGTCACTGTGTTGTTGAGCAAACAAAGCAGTGAGCAACTTATCAATTTGCTTTGACAGGCCACACTGATTATGATGGGGATGCAATCAGGTTATCAGTACACGGTGTGTTTGAGATCTTGAAGCAAATGGGTATCGAACGAACCCCCGCTGCCTATCCATCAAATCCATCTCAAAGTCGAAAGCAAAAGGAGATGGGCAATCTTTTTTCTAAAATGGAGGCTGGTATTACATTTATGATATGAGATGTTCTCAGTCAATCCCCCTTACTCCACCCCATCTCTCTATTTCTGACTCCCAGACTGTCCCCTGTGTGTATGTATGTGTATGTGTGTGTTTGACAGAAACAACAACAGACTGAGAAAGAGAGATTAGAAAAACATCAAGGGAGAGCAACAAACTTTTTCTTTTCTGTATTAGCTCATCATACCCTACCATTTCCCAGACAGGCCTACAGTGCTTTTAGTTTCTGAGGAGACAGCTTGTTACATCATCAACATTAAGAAAAGATGTGTTAAATTTAGCACACACACACTCATAATAGGCATACCACATAATGTAGAGGGTTGCTCGGGAAAGAAGACCGCATGATAGAAAGAGTTGCAGGAAAGCTCCCCACTAACTGCTCTCATGTATCAAACAAATCCCAGACACAAATTCACTTACTTAGATACAAAGATAAAGACTGTCAGATATTAAAAGAGGAAGGAGGAAAACAACTTTCAGGAAGAAGCCCCAGTGAGACCTCCATACTTTGCAAGATGGACAGCTATTTAGCTCGTTGTCATGGCAACACATCAAGCCCAAGGCATCATAAGGTCAGTCAGAGTGGCGGGCCGAGCTGGCTGAGCATGGACACACCAGGATGTGAGATGCAGCGTGACAATTTAGAGGTGGCACCTGTGGCATACAAATGTCTTCTGGAAAAGTGGTCTGACACTCAGCAGGGTGCATGAAATCGTGAATAACAACTTGAGGGGAAAGTATTAATAAGCAGTACATAAAAAATTAAACAATGATTTAAAACATACTATGATGTAGTTGTAAGCTGGTTGATTACACAGTATAACACAGCTGCAATAATATTAAATGATATCTCATTACACACAAACAAATCCTTTAAGTGTTATCAATCATGTAATGACATGCAGAAACTGATACGACTCATGAGGACATACTGGCTTCAGTTTAGTGTGACAAAAAAAAAAAGTAATGTTCACTTACTTTTTACTTTACAGCCACATCATTTTCTCAGTTGTGATGGAGGACGAAAAATCAGTAATTATAAATAAATAAATACTTTGTCAATAAATATAATTATAATAACAATGTAATTGATGAATCCAATAAATATTTATAATGAAGATCATAAAATAGTAACTAAAATAAATACAATATATTAATTACAGTTTTTCACAATTGCTAAGACACATTTCTTGAAACCTTCCTTCATTTTCTTGAAACTTAAAACACAAAACCTAATCTTTAAACTACATTTACAAAGCCCCTGACTTTTCAGGCAAAATCAAACAATCGCCTCAAAACCATGTGATCTGTGCTCAAAAACAAACAATGCTTTCAAAACATAAACAAAGCCAGTCAATATGTAAAACACTACAGAGCATTCTTTAGACACTCAAAATATTGAGAACACAGCATCCAGAGATGTAGTTACAGAAAATGTTTTGGGTTTTTTGCATAGGAAACACATTTTCCAATTTTAAAAAATATTGTAATCACAACTTAGTGCAGTAAATATATAGTATACTGTAAGTACTGCAGGTAATACAGTGTTGAATATCTGTATAGCACTTGCATAGAAATACAGTACTGCAAGCCCAAAATACAGAATATAGAGAACGATGATCGATGAGACAAGATATCCCAGCTTGTTCAATGGGTGACATCACGTCACTATGCTGGCCAGGGACTTAACCAGACATTGGTTTGATCAGAAAGAAGTGTGCAGAATTATAAGCTGTTGTGTGTAAAAGATGACAGCTGCGTTTAACTTTTGCCACATGTATTTACCCTTTTGCAACACAAGTGCATCACAGTGAGAATGTCTTTAGAATTAAACAAAAAGAGTGGATGAGATTTGCAAAAAGTGTCATAACTTCCTGAACTTATTTAAGGTTTTGCTAAAAGAGTGACAAATGGATTTAGGCCACTGGGCTATGAGGTTTAGTGTTTTAGCAATCGTGAAAAACTGTCTACAAATAGACATATTTTTATAATTACAACTTACTTTACTGCAATCATGGATAGTTGTGGAGTTAGAGTTGTTGACAAATAGCCTACAATAAATACATTTTCAGTATGTGCTAAATGGCACCCACAATGCCCACCCAGTTGCAGTCACAGGACAATACAGTATATGTCATTTACCATCTGTTGATTGATTTTTTTTTTTAATGGACTTTTCCCTTCAGAGCTAATATCACTCTTCGATTACGGGAAATAAAAATGTAGACCCTGCCTTGTGTGATGTATGGATGCATAGGTGTCAGTACTTACAGTAACATTCTACACTAGAGTGAAATGATGGGTCAATCAATAGTTTATTGACAGAAAACTGATTCTGTAGCTACTTTAATAATCAATTAAACATTTTCTTGTTTCAGCCTCTCAAATGTGGTGATTTGATGATTTTCTCTGTCCTTTACACTATGATAGTAGACCAAAAATATCTGGCTTTGTGACTGTTGATCAGGTAAAAACAGCTATTTTATAATCGGCCATTTTCACTATTTTCTGGCAAGATGATTAATCAAGAAAATCATCAGATTACTCGACAACGATAATTGTTAGTTGCAGCCCTAATATGCACTTAGCGCAAAGTACATAATTTTGTGGCAGAATGATCAGACCAGCACTGATTTTAGGTACAAAAACCTTTCCTGATGTGTAACAGACCATTAAAGCTTTGCCAGAGCCAAGAAAGCCATATCAAGTCATGAAAAGTTGTTTCTGGAGAAATCTGAGCCACGGCCATCTGATCACTCTGTGATGCATCAGCGCGACATTAATGCACTCACAGTGCTTTTGGGAAAATTAATCTCATGCCTGTGACCTGTAGTTCAAGTTCTGGGTTTATGACAAGCTTGGTGTGAGCAGGGTAGAGTATATTTTTAAATTGTGAGACACACAGTGTGTAAGACCATTAAAATCATTACATTCTGATAGATGGGATTACAAAGCAGCTGACCTCCTTTGAACTATGCCGCAATATCAAAAGGTTTGGATTGTAGGACTACATTCATCGCACCCACTCTGGGATTCTTAGATGTGATTTAGGTGGGTGGGTGCAGTGTGATGACGCAAGAGCATCTCCTGCAACCCAGCAAAAGAGAGAGGAGAGGAGAGGAGAGGATTATATATAATGGTAAGACTAACAGGGATTACAGGGTTTATTACATGTGTTCCCTCTGGCCTAAAACTGGGAAAAATTGTATCAGATTCTGCGTATTTACAATAGGTCCTAGGTTATCGGTCCTATAGGAGTATTTTAGTAAGGATAAAGAGCAGGTCAAAGAACGGTCAAATGTAAATGCAGAGCTCTTGTTTCAACTCATTTCTCAACACTAAAAAGTGTTGTCAACCTTCTCCTCTAACAACAGATGACATATTAAACATTTATAGATTTTGAATAGAAACATGACACAGGAAATCACAACCCAAAGGCAGCCCTTACAATTTCAAAGTTAAATTTTCTTTCGCTACATGAATGTCATTCTACTACGACATTTTACTGTGTTACTACAGTTCACATTCACTATGTTTAATTAACATAACAAAGATGCTGCATAAAGCACAGACAATCAAGTAAGTAAATCTGCTTATTAATATTCATTATTTTATTAATTATTCTTTTGTTATTAAACTTTGATGAGTTTGTTTTGAGATGGGACAGTAAAAAGGTTTTAAATTCATCAAAGGATCTAATAGGTTTTGGAAGATCAGATTAGCAGTTCTGATCATACAACTTTGGCAATAGCTGTTGTTCACTGATCACTTTAGAAATTCAGGGGACCTAATATGGATGATAAGAATATTTAAAGTACATTTTCTTTTTGCATCATTAATTAAAACTGTCATCTGAGGCTTGATGACAAACACAAACCTGTCACAGTGAAGGGTTTCAAAGGGAAATCTCAAAATAAACCTAAAAACATAGGCCGCATTTACAGCAAGTAGGACTGCTTTGGTGATATTTTCATAAATTGCATTTGTTGCATAAGGATTTCTGACACTGATGACAAAACTTTTTTTTTAAAGCAATAAAGAACATCAGCATTCCAATACATTTTTTAAACAAGTCTTGGTGTTGATGTTGTATGAATGAAGGACACACACGCACAAATGTGTTGACATACGTATAATATTTTTAACGACTGTTAACTTTTGTATGTAAGTAGTGTGTATAATGGGGGGGGAGCATATTGAGTTGAAGAAGTTCGTGAGAGGGGATGAGCAGAAAGCAACGTTTAAAAGGAAAAGTAGCTAGGCAAAGACAAGGAAACGTATGAAAGAAACAGACTGAACACTCAGCGCAAACACATGTTTCTGCTTCACCCCCTCCTACTTCAGGGTCTTTCTGATCTGTCAGAGTTTTTTCAGCGATCTCACAGCCCACAGCCCGTCACACGCCGGAGGCTCTCTCTCTCTGCCCAAGCCTGAGAGAGAAGCAGAAGGGAAGAGCACCAGAAAACTCCTTCTGACGTGGAGAAATGAGGATTTTGAGTGTTTTCAGATTTGTATTTATTTCTTTACTACATAGGTATTCTTATCTGATTTAGAAACATATTTCCCATTTCTGTATCACAGTATAGTCCAGACATTGATAGTTAGGTGTACAGATCAT